GGGGGTTGAGGCAACGAAGAGGAAGTTGACGTGGCCCATATATGATAAAAGCGAGGGGGCAGGTACCTGGCCAGGGTGTAGGACCAAGTGCAGTGGCCGTTGCCCGCAATCTGCTATGAGAAGATTGAGTGCGAGCATCCCCATTGGGACTAGGGTCGATGCTGGTTCCGAACCAACGTTGAAGACCCAGGGCCCTAGCTCACTTTATACATGTATGAACTATGGGAAAACAGATTCAAGTCCGAATCCAGACACCTCCAGATAAAGAGAGGGTAAATTCACCTATGTGTTGCCTGGCGCCAGCCAGTTCCACAGCAGTGGCTTGGACTGCCGCCCCACTATGTGTCTTTCGTGACATCCGTTAAAATTGGAATGATGCAGGGAAGATTAGCATGGCCTTGCGCAAGCACTATTAGTATAAGGCCAGGGCCAGCCTTGGGTAGCAGTTCCGTGTTGATATCTCGAACTGTTATCAGACGAAGGGCTGTGAGGGGTGTGTTATACTCGGGGACGACGGAGATGGTGGAAGTAGAGTAGTAGGAGAGAAGAAGTCATATCTCGCCCGTTCCTTGACGGAATCGGGCGAAGTAAAACTTGATATTGGGGTTTTGATGCACTGCGAGTATGATGACGCAGTTAGATTTAGCAATAGGATAGTATTGTGGGCGCTCTATGGGTTGTGGACTGCGCGGAGGTGTCGGGAAGCGGAGTTGGCAAAGAATAAAAGTTCGCCCGTCGGCCATCTCTTGACCGTTTTTGGGCAAACAAAGATGCTAAACGGGAGTTCTGGCGTGCTACGAGTCAGATGGCGGCTCTAGTTTCCACGTGGGAGTGATGATTTGGCGGCTATGAGACGTAGGGGTTCCGCGGTGTGAACGAGGGAGTAGTGGGATTCCCCTACGCGTCGCGAGATGAATCTTCCCGCATTTCTACGGAAGGTTCATTTTCATACAACTCAAGACGAGCACATCAGTACGGCCCGCAGCAACTAAGCTCACACCAGACCAAGAAACAGAGGGGTGTGAGAGGCAAGGAGTAGCCGGAGAGGTGGAGAGGCATTGCGAGAGCGATGGAGTAGACGGGGAAAGAGAGGGGGATGGTAGCGGCACCACGTACCTGATCGTGAGGAGGGTCAACGTATCGTCCCATGGTCTTGTAGGAGCTCGTAGCCAGTTTGCACATCGTACTGCTGGGCGAGACCGTGCGGTTCTCCTTCGTGGGACAGGGTCTCGCTCCTTCCTGTAACGAGTTGCAGAAGGAAGACTGAAGGAACCTTCGTACACTTCGGAGGGAGGTTCATCCGGTTTTTGTGCAGCCTATTGATAAGAGGAGCGTGCCACTGTTGCAAGATTGGAGGCCTACCTGTTGGCCAGGTCGATGTGTGTTAGCGGGCGGCTTAATCCGACGTGGCAGATCTGGTGAATAGCGGATCAAGGCCGCTTGTCGTCAGTGAGCTCGTTACCGTCCTCGAATCAGTGGCGGCCATCCTCCTCATCACGACGTGTTCCTTGGAAGGCCCATCTCTCCGTAGTTGGTGGGCGTGCTGATCGGGATAGTGCTGTCTGACGACAATCCTGTTTGAAATTATACAGTGTCTCTTCGCGTGTGATAGGGGAGGGTTCATTCTCAAATTTAGCACGTATAGACCCACCGCCTGGCCGAAGATCCATTTGTGGTTTGACGGGTAATGAGCACAGCGGCAGCCAACGGGCAAGCTTCCGCTAGGTGACATCGGGGTGTGCGCACAAGAGAGAAAGAAAGAGCGGGGGCGGGGGGGGGAGTACACATAGCTGCTGGAACCCCACGCACAGTCTGTGTCAGCGGGCATTGCACTTGGCCAGGTTCGAGCTATACGTTCACCCTCCTTGGGAAGTCGTATGGATACAGATTGTGGTAGGAGTCACCTTGGTACGCCCATTCCCCGCGGAAGAAGGGGTTGATGCGGCAGGGGGGGAAGGTGGCTGTGTGAGCTGCCACTACAGAGAGTACCAGACAGCTGCTACCRGGAGAAACTGAGTATGCCGTGGCGAGGGCTGCTGCTGCTGTGACTGGTAACTAAGTCAGAGACTATGGTTGTTGGTGTCAAACGGCCAGGTCATGAGGGACAATATCGCTAATACGGCTATGTGACTGTCGTGCCCCACTTGCGGCARTAGGAGTTGCTCGGCCAGGTATGGGCTTACTGAGGCCTRCTGAGCACGWYTGTTTTTCTCACTGYTGTATTTGGGAACAGTAGACTGTGTTCTTTGGGCTTGAGGAGTATTCARCARCCTTGGTACTAYGGCTGGGATGATTGAAGGGCCATAGCARCGACAGTCGGACTCTCTTTCCTAAGCCGCTAAGGGGGAAAGGGYTGTTGTTTCTTCGCTACAAGAAGGGYTCGGTTGCAGCCGGGGTGTCCCARCGCCCGGACTGTGTTTTTGCGGGGCATGCTACTGAGGCCTGAGCAAAGCTGTTAGACCTGTTGCTGAACTGCTAATATGTTTTTTTTTCTTTGCGGTGACAAACACAACTGGTGTTGTCACTAAGGTGTTGCTGCCGCTATTATACTCGGCAGGTGGTGAACTGTGACAGCTGGAGTCTGAGAAYGGACCATCGACTTGCGGCTGTGGCACTTTCACTGTACCTTTGTTGAGATTGTTGGCGTTATTGTGCCTCCAACCGCCTAGGCTGGGCATCTTTGCTAGCATTTCTAAGRTCCGTTATTACAAAGGACCTCGGCCTACCGTGCATTGGACGATRTATCGCAGCAAACAGTTGYTGCGCTCACAAGGCCTGYTGTACAGCATAGTAGCCTGTTACCCTGGGTACTTGTGCTACTACGCATGKTTGYTGTGTGCGCAGCATCCCAGTGAGTGCGGTTGYTGGCCGGCGCAYTTTAAGCAGAGCATRAGCAAGCGCAGCAGCARCATTGGGYCAAGGAAGGAGACTGTGAGCAGTGGGASTGATCRGGGTTTTTTGCACAGGGGTCGCTGCTGCAACTTGAAGGCTCGCCAGGAAGGGTTATTCTGCGTTTCGGCTTCGATTGACTGACTATATTGCGTTTATTGGCTATCATTGAGGGGCCCTCAGGCGATCGAAGACAACAAGGCCTTCTCATGCGAGTCTGAGTGCACCCCTCTTGGATCTGCAAGTCTCAGCCTTTCTCTTTCTGCCCTCCTGATTCTAAGTCTAGTCTATTGGTTACGAGAGGAAGGCGGCAGGCGGGATTGCAACCCGTAATCCGCGCCAAGGCCTTTGTGGGAGGTTGCCCCACCGATTGCGGGAGCCCTGTCGGAACTCAGGAGGAGTTCTGGAGGAAGGGAACTCAGAGGTAATCTTTACTTCCCCTTATAAACCTAATATAACCCCTACTTACATTCCTCCCTATGTATTGTTTGGCTATGCCGAGTGCCACCTCTACTTTGACTTTTGGATTGACTTTGAGGACACAAATCAGACCAACTAAAGGAATGCTTGTATAAATGGCAGGTTCAGTTTCTTTGACTGCCTGAAAGTAGATTGTCACAGAGGGGTTGCATCAGGGGGGAGGTTGGGAGGAAGGCAGTTTTGCTTGCGATTGAACGGGTCTTACGGGGTCGGGCATTGTTTCTAAGATAAATGGTCCGACTGCTGTGTTTTGTTCTGTTTTTTGAAGAACCAAGCATTGTTTCTAAGATGAACGGCCTGGTTGCTGTGTTTCTTTAATTGTGCCATGCATTGTTTCTAAGATGAATGGCCTGGCTACTTATTTCTGAGAGGTATTGCTTGCTTGACTTTTGAGGGTCAGACATTGTTTCTAAGATGAATGGTCTGGCGGCTGTTTACTTGGGTGGTTTCTGAACAGTCTCCGGGTCAGACCCAGGGGACTCTGCTTTTTTTTATGTGCTGAAAGAGGGGGAGCTGAGCATTGTTTCTAAGATGAATGACTCATCTCTCCTTGGTTGTTTTATTCTGAGGGAGGATTCATGCGAAAGGGTTGGACATTGTTTCTAAGATGAATGGTCTAAGTCTGAGGCCTCAGGACCATAATGAGAACAAAGGAATAAGATTCTCTATATTGTGATATATGTATGTACTTATATACGAACAAGGCTAGCCAGGCATTATTTTGAAGATGAATGGCCTGACTATTAGCCCTATCACAAGCGAAGAGAGTATAATCAAGAGCTATAACTGGAAGTAACCTGGGCAGGCTGAGCATTGTTTCGAAGATGAATGGCTCAACCTTACGCCCTCCTTTTGAAAACTAAGGTGCAGAAAGGTATATATAACGCGGTTATTTAAACAGTTCAGGGCGACTAAGCATGGTTTCTAAGATGAATGGCTTAGTCACACGCCAAACGAAGAGAAAAGTAGTTGTGCAACCTGTTCGTGTATAACTAAGGCAGAGGGCTGACATTGTTTCTAAGATGAATGGATAGTCCCAATGCCCTATGTAAGCAGGGTATAACGGGTTAAAACACTGAAAGACTATGAACTAATGTTTGCTAAATCAACTTGGGGATGGTGAGAGTACTTACCTTTATGGCTTGGCCTGCATGTGCCTGAGTGGTATCGTTACCTAGTCTGAGTTTAAATTGATAGGTAGTTGCTGTAGAGGCTCGCCACGTGCCAGAGCTGTAGGAGTTAGATTCAATTCCTGCATTTTCTAAGATAGTTTTTTTTACTTAGTTTGATTTCTGCATTTATTTGAGGTGTTTTCTCATACTTGGGCTTGTATAAATCTTGGTAAGCCATTTTTCCTACGGGAAGCGCTGTCGAAATTTCTGCAAATCCAAGGAGTCAGACAGATCTCTGACTTTCCAAAAGTTCAACTGTCTGGATCATATATGGCCCCGTGTAGTGTGTGGACTCTTGTTTAACTTTGATGTGATTGCATGTATGTTCAGAAGCTCGGGGTTTTGGTTGGACTGCCTTACGGTCGCACATATATATATGGCTAGAAGGAGACCCACTATGACTGTGAGAAGTGATCGTCACGTGATTATTCCCTTTGTGTTCGTAGAGTAGTGTATGCGTGGTAAGTGGGATACGTCCTAGCCGACCGGCGACGAACCGCCCTTGGGACTTCAGCCCCCCAAGGTGTCGGCCCGCGTGCGGGTCCGATAGGCGTGCTACCGCGCGTACCCCCTATGCTACAACGAACGAGAAACGCCCTCGGCTGGTCCATCTCTGCGATTGCAATTGAGTAGCTTTCGTACTGTGGACTGGTAGCTCGGCAGGGATACGCCCACCGAAGGGAGGTGACAGCTCCCGTAAGGTGGAGGTAAGTTGTGCCTCGCGTAGGCCCTATCCTGTCGTAGGGGCTCGCGAGAGGTATGGCTGGCGCACTCGGCTGGAGCGGCCTAAGGAAGCTCCATTTGTATGTTCGCGAAAATGTTAATCCAACTCTTGCGTGACGCGGCCGAGAGGGTCCCGCGCTGCCACGAGCAGTGTGGGGCCGATGCGCTCGACAGGTGGCGCCGTTGCCGGGGATAACGGAAGCCTACCGTTGTTCCTGGTGGAACGACATCCGGGTGCAAGTGAGAAAATAGGCATAAGAAAATGATAAGTGTGATCAAAGTAAAAGGTAAGTGATGAGGGACTAAGTATAAAAAGAGAAAGTTAGCACCCGTATATGTGTATTTGATTGAGCTGCCCGGTCCTAGCGAGAGCGTAAAGGGTGGCCGTACTCACGTCGAGGGTGAGACTAGGTAGGAGATACGGGCTAGACCAAGTTGGAGTAGGATGCTAAGTAGGTGAGTGCCTTTGGTTTTCTCTTAACAGGAAATTGGAAAAGGAGGCCTACCAAGATGCCGGAGGATGGTGATGCCGGAAAGGTCCTGACCATCAAGGACCTCATCGCAGCTCTAGATCGATACGAGAGGACCTCGAGTAACGTTCCGAAGGTTGAGACCTTCCATTTCGATGGGGAGAGGGTCTCAGATTGGTTAGACCTGGTGGAGAAGGCAATGGCGGGATTGTCAGATGAGGTGAAATTCCAGCGTATCATGAGGTACGTGCTCCATAGGCACCATCAGGAGCTGCAAAAGGTTGTGGATGGCGCCCACGGTAGTTGGGCAATATTCAGGGAGAACATGCTGCGCAAGTATCGGTTGGGTGATGGGTTGCTTACCATCTCAGATCTTGAGGGAATGAACAAGGACGACTTTACCACGATAGGGGCCTTCGTACAAGAGTTTAAGAAGAAGGCGAGAAAAGTTCACGGGATCTCTGAGGAGAGGCAGTGCGCTATCTTTCTGGGGCTGCTCACTGGGTCATAGGCGGCCGAATTGACGAGTCACGGAGCAGGTAGCGCAAAGCTTACCTGGGCCACCATCGACAGAGGAGTGGAGGATGGGAGTTTGGACCATGTAGAACAGCATCAGATACGCCTGCAAAGGAGGCAAAGAAAGGAAAGGTTCGCTACCGCGTCAGGAACCCCGGGGGTAAAAAGGATCGTCACTGATGTGCTTGCGGCATAAGGCTATGGCCAGGATGCCGAGGCACAGAGAAAGGTGGTAGCCGGGGTCCGAGGCCGAGGGAGAGAGGTGGGGGATGAAGGCGTCGGGCAAGAGGATTACGGTGGGGAGGAAACGGGGTCACAAATCCTTACCAAGGCCCAGCGGAAGCAACATAATCTGTTGCTGGGTGGTCAAGGGTCTGGCAAAGGACAGGCCCCCCAGGCAATTGCTGCACCACCAGTCGCCGCTGCAACCGCGCCCATACCGACAGGGCCAGCGCCGATGGGGCCGCCCCCGGCCTGCGGACATTGGATGCCACACTGTCAAGCGACACACTGGCCCAGCTATAGTCATTGTACCTCGTGCGGAGGGGGCCAAGCCCATACTAGACAGATGGTTCCATTCTCGGGCCCGTCAACAAGCGCAGGGCCGCCAAGTTTCCCGGCGACGCAAGGCCAATTCACGGCCCAGCCTCCCCCCTCACAGCAAGCATCGCAGGCTAGTGTGGCGGGAGGAGGAGGCCAAGGGCAAGGAGGGCAGGGCAATGGCGGTCGGGGACAAGGAGGCCGAGGGGGTGGCGGACGAGGCCGAAATGGAGGAGGGCGTGGCGGTAGATGGAACAACCAAGGGGGCCAGGGCCAAGGAGACCAAGGTAGCCAGCAAGGAGGCCAAGGATATGGGAGACCCCGCTTCGACTGGCGGAACGCAACCTGCTGGCATTGTGGTATTGTGGGCCACACGATTCGGTTCTGCCAGCAACGGCGGGATGATGAGCTTGCGGGCTTGATTTCCTCTTGTATGGATGGGGATATATACGACAAGTGGGGGGAGCACATTGACCTCAGGACCCCGAGAGGTATCAGGCAGGAAGCCCTCAGGTGGGCAGCGGCAGGGCCATCGACCGCCCCGACCATGTTTAGACTCTGGCAAGAGAGAGAGGACCCGGCCGTAAGGATCGAAGAGATCACGGGGGATAGCGAGGAGGTTACGCAACGATTAAAGGTCGGGGCCATAAAAGACGAGCCGATAATTGTTGAGTCAGACGACGAGGAGAGGGAAGATGAAGGGGAGCCGGCCGTAACCACCCTGGAAAAGATGGAGGATTTAATGGGAAAAATAGGGAGGTACCAGCGGAAGTTGAAAGAGTTATGTGATGAAGTCCGAGGGTGGAGATCCGACCTCCCAAAGGTCTTCCTCTATGAGACTGGGCCGGGGCCTGCAGCTGGGCAGCAGAATAGTCCCGGGGTTGCCGTGGTGGGGTCTGGCCCCAGGTCAGGAATGATGTTCAGGCCGCCCACCCCGCACGGGCGGGCGCCGCAAGCAACTCAAACGAGGAGCCAAAGTAAGGTGGGCCCTAGTCAGCCACCAAGCCAAGCTCCAAGTCAGGCACCCCCACGGAAGAGACCTGAGCCTGAGCGTAGAAAGGAGGTGGTCGAGGTCCAGGAAGAAGAGGAAGAGGATGATGACACAGAGGATGAGAGACTCTGCCAGGAGGAGGATCGGCGGACGGAGCAGAGAGCTCAGAGAAAGGAGGCTCAGGAGAGGGTCGAGCCAGGTCTACAGGATGGTGTGCCCAGGAAAAGGAAGTACATCGTCAGGCTGGAGAAGGACTTTGACGTGGAAAGGATGGTGGACCGACTCCTTGAAGGTCACAATGACCTTATGAATTTAAAAGACATCCTGGCATCCGCTCCAAGACTCCGGGAAGAGTTGAAGGGGCGATTGTCTCGAAGGCTGGTGCCCAACGTGCATTTGAGCGTCGTCCTGCCCAGGGAAGTAGGATGGACACAAGCTGGGACGAGAATGGACTGGAAGTGTGTGGCATGCGGGTTGGTGGACTTGGTAATAAAGGAGAAGAAGTGTCTGGCAATGATGGATACGGGCGCTGAAATGAACATCACTAGGGAGAGAGATGCGCTTATGCTCGGGATGGAGATCGACCGTGCAGATCACGGTGTGCTGCACGGGGCTAACTGTAAAGCAATTTTTTGCGGCACAGCATCGAATGTGATCATGGAGATTGGCAAGGTGCGAGCAAGAACGTGCTTTTTCGTCATGCCAGATGCGGACCATCCCATCCTGCTGGGTAGATCGTTCATGTGCAGAACGGAGACTCTGATCTTCAACAAGCACGATGGAACGATGATATTGCTCCTAAGTGATCCAGCTTGTGGGAACTACGAAGTTGTCACCTGCCGGAACACGGGGCCAGGGAGCGAGCGGAATAGGCCCAACCCCGGCTCGTTCACATACGTGGAATCAGAGAACGAGCGGCGGAGGCTCGCAGAGGAGCCTGAGGAGGAAGATGGGGCGGAGTTGCTGTCACTAAGCCTTACGGATGTAAGTAAGGCTATGGAGATCGTGGCGGCACATGAGATGGCGGACCCGGAGGCCATCAAGGCCTTGCGAGAGCATGGAATGCCCGCAGGCAGGAGAGGTGGAGCTTATCTATCAGCTTCCCGGAGGAAGAAAGGGGTCTGCAATGGCGCAAGCGCAAACAACAAGCCGACCTTTTTTAGGGGACGGCTCAAGCAGGGCGCCCAAAGGCGGTACAAAACGGTAAATAAGAAGTGTCGCCCTGTTCCCGTGCTCGTTACGGAAGATGAAGAGGCATATTACGAGCGGGAGCGAGGATTGATACGGCGAATGCAAGAGCAGGCGTTGAGGGATCCATGTCGTATCAATGATGGAAATGAAGGAGAGTTAATAGTCGGGGAGACAGGTTTTCTCTCGCCTCAGGAAAGGATGTTGATGGTGCAGTTGATGAAGAAAAGGCATCGCGCATACGCCTTTAATGACGACCAGCGTGGGAGGCTGGATGTGGACAAGATCCCGATGATCCGGATCCACACAGTTCCCCACGAGCCCTGGAACTTGAGGGGTGCGCGATACCCAAACCCTGATGAGGAGAAGATGGTGGTGGATTATCTGGATGGCAAGATACGCACGCATGTTGTCGGCTACTCTAGTGGTCCGTATGCTTCCCCTTGGTTCTGCTTTATTATGCCAAACGGGACGCTACGGTGGGTACAGGATTTGCAGTGGCTGAACGCAGTAACGGTGCGAGATGCGGGAGGCTTGCCGAACGCAGATGCACTGGCAGAGTCATGCGCGGGGAGGCCTATGATTTCACTTATAGACCTTTATTCCGGGTATGATCAGTTTCCTGTATGCCCGCCCGATAGGCCGGTGACGGCAATGCACACGCCAAGGGGGCTAATCCACATGAATGTGGCTCCTCAGGGTTGGACAAATGCAGTGGCGATGGTACATAGACATATGATCAGGGTCATGCAAACAGTCAGCCCGCACATCACCCAGCCCTACATCGACGACTTGGCAGTCAAAGGGCCAAAGGAGAAAGAGGAGGATGAGGTGCAGCCCGGAGTGAGGTGTTTCGTCTGGAGGCATATTCAGGATCTCGATCGGGTCTTAGGTCTGCTAGAGGAGCACAACCTCACTGCAAGTGGGCCAAAGTCCAAGCACTGCATGAGAGAAGCCACCATTCTGGGGTTTGTCTGCAATGAGAAAGGCCGGAAGCCAGATGTAAAGAAAACAGACAAGATCTTAGAGTGGCCGGTGCCGTTCCAGACTATAACGGATGTGAGAAGCTTTCTTGGTACTTGCGGATTTTGGAGGAGCTTCGTGAAAGACTTCGTCGCCAAGACTGAGCACTTAAGGAAGCTGGTGCGCCAAGACCAAGGGTGGGTTTGGGGCGAAGACCAGGAAGAAGCGGTAGCCAGGATGAAGGGAGAGTTTAAGGAAGGAGGGTTGGTGCTAGGGGCGCCAAATTATGAAGGGACTGAAGAAAAGTCGTTCATCATCGAGACAGATGCTGGGCCAACTGCATTAGGAGGGGTTTTGATCCAAGCGGATGTCGAAGGAAAGGAAAGACCGCTAAGATTCGAAAGTCGCACTCTTAATACGATTGAGAGGAATTACTCTCAGTTCAAGAAGGAGACGCTCGCGGTACTCCATTGTCTAAGGGTCTTCCGGAATTATGTCTTCGGCAGGAGATTTATATTGAGGGTAGACCCTACGACGCTGGCCTGCTCTTTAAAAAAATTATACACCATCTGACCCAACCGTCGCTCGATGGTTGACGTACATTTGGATGTTTAATTTTGAGTTGGAAAGGATTCCGGGAAACAAGAATAGAGTTGACGGCCTGAGCCGCGTCAACTGGGACAGTGCAGATCAGGGGTCGATCGAAGACACCCCGCCAGTTGACGGGTTCCTGGATCAAGAAGAAGATGTGCGACTCCATATAAATAAGTGGGCGCTACGAGTACCTAGTTGTGTTAGCTATCCCATATGGATAGCACCAAGAGGGTATGAGCGGAAGGCCGACTTAGTCCTTAAGCCATTTCAGGAAGAAGATCTGTGGGGAGGCAAGGACACGCAGTGGATGATGAAGTTGGCACTGGTAGGGACACATGGCTTGGTGGAAGAGGTGAGGACAATAGAGGAAGGGCCTACTCAGGTAGAGGAACATGAGCAGCTAATGGGAGGGATGTATCTGCTCACTAATACGCTCCTGCAAGGAGACTTTGACCGGAGAGGTTCGTTTAGTCATGAGGAGGATGAGCTCCTGATTCCGGAAAGCCAGGATGACGAGTTCGAAGAAGGAGAAATTAAGGAGGTATTCTGGGCAGAGGAATATGACAGGATCTATCTTGAGCTGGGCCTACTTTTATCCTGTGAGATGAGGGACAGGGATGCTAGCGACAAGGCGTAAAAGTTGAGGCACCTCTACGTGGTGAGAGATGGGCATTTGTTCATAAAGCGGCAAGTTGGGAATCCCAACTTGATTGTGTGCGGGAGGAACCGACAGTTGGACATCATAGCGGCATTACATGATGGTATAGCAGGTGGGCACAGAGGTGTGAGTGCCACATGCGCAAAGATAAGTGAGCTTTACCATTGGGATGGAATGCTGACGATGGTCATCAAGTACTGCCAATCCTGTGTACCTTGCCAGGAAAGGTCGACGCAAAGGTCGGGAGAGCCCCTGCGCCCAAGGTTGGAAAGGGAAGTGGGTGCGGTTGTACACCTGGACCTGTTGTTTATGCCAATGGGGGAAAATGGGTGCAACTATATCTTCGATGCACGCGACAATCTCACCGGGTTTGTAGACGGGCGGGCTATCCGAACGAAGACCGGCCCAGTTTTGACAAGTTGCATCGAGGAGTATTATCTGCGCTATCCTTTCGTCAAGGAGTTCGTGATGGACCGGAGGTCAGAGTTTACCTGCAGGATATGGAGTGGTGGCCAATTACACTACGGCCGCGCACCCCCAAGCGAACGCTCCTGTGGAAAGGGGACACAATACCATAACGAACCTCTTGGCTAAATGGACAGAGAGCAAGCCTGGTCAGTGGCCGAAATTCCTGCGAGCGGCTTTTTTCGTGGAGAATATTATGGTGAAAAGGACTACCAAGTATGCGCCGGCCACGCTATGGTATGGGAGGCATGCCACCTTCCCTATAGAAAGCTTTATGAAAACGTGGAGGCACCAGGACTTGGAAGTAAACCTGTCCTTCGAGGAGCTGCTCGATATCTGGGCGCGGCAAGTGGGAGCGGCCGAGGAAAGATTGCGAGAGGCCGCTGGTCAGGTAAAGAGAAGTCGCATGGAGGATAAGATGAGGTGGGATCAAATGGCGCGAGTGCGGAAAGAGCCCTTGGCAGTGGGAGATAGCGTGTTATTATACGACTCATCCCTGGAAAAGCAGTGGTCACGAAAACTTGACAAAAGATGGTTGGGGCCCTACAGGATTGTGCGATGCGGCGAGTTTGGGGCGTACCAGATCGAAGAGCTAAACGGCACAGAGTGGAAAGATTGGGTATCCGGAACGAGGCTGAAAAAGTTCGTGGCTAGGGAATAGGTAAAGCCGCAACCCCTCCCAGCTGCTGTGATCCCTCCTAGAGTAGACCCTCGTCCTAAGTACTGCATGTCATGATTGGAAGCAAAGAAAGGCTTGATGTGTCTGAGATTGGGTGTATATCTGCTCTGAAGACTGCTAGACCCATATGCTGATCCTGTCGTGTGCCTGTTTGTTTCGCTTCGCCTGATGTGCAGGTCTGACTTTATAGAAGGCAGCCATGCAGAGGGGCGGGCGGGGCACGCGGCCACGACAGAGACCTCTCGGGGCATCCGGAGGGGAAGAGCGGCATGGGCTCTTCAGGAGGGAGCCTACACCTGTGTTTGACAACGACAACATCTAGCTCTTCCTGGACGCTTACCGAGAGCATGCAACCCGGAGAGGATGGGACGTGGCTGAGAGGATACGTCACTTGAGGGGAGTTGGGAGGTTCGAGGAGCCCATTGCGCAGATCAGGGAGGAGACCCTAACTTGGTCGGAGGTAGAAGCAGGGATGCAGAGACTGAGAGCTTCACCTTTGGGGAATGATGGGCTTTCTGGTGTATGATGATTTGTGTAACAAACAGCTCATATGCTTATGCCTTGTGAGTAAATGTAAACTGTCTACTCTTCGGTGTACTTGCGACCTGGCCGGGGGCAGATGCTAGAGCCGAGTATAAGGAAAGGAAGCGCAGTCTGTTTTTGTGAGACAAGTTGCAAAGATCCAAAGAAGGTCTATGAGTCCTTAGAACTCGAAAGCTTATCATGCCAAATGATTACGCGTCCAAGTTGTGTTGGAGACCCATAAATTGGCCTCCTGTTCTGTTTTGTTGTTATGGTTGAGTTGTGCCTTACGTTATTTGGAAGACTTATTTTCAGGAAAGCG